GTGATCATACTCATGATGACTATCATCCTTGACAGTCATCATCATCATCATCATCATCATTGGCATTATCAGCATCATAGATATCCCCCATAGCATTAACAGTAGTATGACCTCAAATAATTAGCAATCAGTCCTCGAGCCCGAATGGGCTATTGACGCATAGGCCATGAGGATGAAAGGGCTAATTGTTTTAGTCAAATCCAACTAGTCAGTAAAATATATAGATGAAAACAAGTAATTTGAATTAAAGTTCAATTTAATGTTTTGTTTTTCAAAGCCGGCACTTTTCGCTACTAGTATGATATAACTTATAGCTAGTAGTAGTTCATCCAATCAGAACGCAGCATTGATGATAGACTACTAGTTGGATTTGCTTAACGGTTATTATTTTTGACTCTAGGATTGGTTTCCAAACCACGTTCTCTTCTGATGGCGTGTCATCAGACATGTTCCGTGTATTCTTCACCTTGTTCAGCCAAGGCATCAACTGGTTAGGGATATTAGTACTAATACCTATATCCTTATTACCTGATATGATGGGAATGCTCTTCACCAGGCACTTTTATCCAACTGAGACTCAAAAAGCACAGGTATGGACTACCGATGGAAGGGGTATGCAAGGTGGGGGAGGGAGATAGAGTATTGGGGGGGAGAAAGGGTGTGATTGAATATAATATTAGTGCAACCATGTACCCGACCCTACCCCTCATATGCTTTTATTTGTGGACACAAAAAATTTATCAGTGTTTTAATACTCATGGTATTATGACCCTCCCCAGTATTTCATCCCTCTGTTATCCCATACTCTCACCCCGCCCCATTGATGTATCATTCGCTGTTGCCTTCCCTATTGAAGGAGTATGTCGACCCCACTCATATTTTACCCGATTATTCCCATTCTTCCTTGCGCCTTAAAGTGCCTTCCTACCCCTGTTCCACAACCTTACGAATAATGACTTCATTTCAACGCCCAGTTAATAGAATAGTAGAACTAAATAGTGTGTATACCATATTGATCCGTGAAAAGCTTTGTAAAAAATTGTACAAATTTGCACAAATTAGTAAGTCCAATAGACCGTAGACCTACAAATTCGTCAGTACAATTTTGTTAGTTAACTTTTTCCCGGATAATATGGCATGCATTCTAGCCTTGCTGTGCAGTTACCAACCAACCAACAAAACAGTTATACAGTAATCCAACAATTCCCACCTTGAATTTTTCAAATCAACCCTAACTAATTCAAACTGGTTAGAGCTGTGCTCCGGTGTCATACATGAACTGTACAGCCGCTGCCAGAGGCACCCTCCAATGTTTTCAGCTCAACCCAGTTGAACTGAGCCACTGCGGTACTTTGTGGTAGTGATTAGCGATGACAACTTATCCCTCCCCCCCTAGTCTTCAAATATCTTATATTTTTTTCATGCGTGTTTATTGAACATCCATCGTCGTTTTCGCAAACAAATTGTCATGTTTATCGAACTCGAATTTCAAATATACATAATCACCTTTAAATAACAACCATAATATCACATGCATTGCTTGTAAGCAGTAAACCAGACTGATCTAGACTGATCTACCCATYTGTAAATAACATTAATCACATATTAATTAATTATTATATTAAATTACTTACAATTATTGTTTTTGGGTCTAGATTCCATTTTGTTAAGCGATGCTTAATAGATTTGTCTAAAATGCTGCTCTAAAACTCTCCGATATTTTTTAAACTGTAAGATATAACTCTACATAAACATTCTTTTGCTTAAAATATATTTGATTAACTTAAATATGGGCTTAAAACTCAATGTTTAACTGATTAGAAGAATTGCTAGTTATCGACCCAGGCTCTCAGAAGACCTGAGTCATACTTCTATATTTGTAAACTCTTTACCATATATGGTCATAGCTATTTCCACTAATACTAAATATCTAGTTGTTATTTTTATAATTCGTTTAAAGATTATTTATTGTCTAAGAAATGCAGTTTTTTCGGTCAACTAGAAGGAGAATGTCATTAAATTAGGATTAATAATAATTTWTTATTTATTGCTAATATTCTGTTTGTTAATCTTGATACACACAAGGATGTAGTCGTGGATAGGTTAAGATGTATTCCTGGAACATCTAGGAAAATCAAGGTAACGAACACGACTAACTCTCCCCAGACGGCTGAATAACTACAGTTCAATCTTTAACGGCTGGTAAAAGTGGAGTTGCTTTAAAGCTTATTAAAACCGCTGCATTTAAACATTGGCCTGCCAAAGGGGATTTAAACCGCGTCAGCTAATCCATCGAGAAACTTTCTTTTTTTGTCTTGATACTTCCGTCAGTCTTTGTTCTCTTTTTCATTTTCAATTTCAGTCGTGAATTCTGTTTGCTTCGAGAGAGTGTGTTTTTTTTTTCACAACCGTGGCATCTTAAGTAGTCTTTTCCCTTCCTCCGTATTGACTCATTCTTCTTTCTTTTTCCTCACACTTCATCATCTTGTTTCCTCACAGCTTGTCCCAAATCAACCAGGCGTTTCTGTACTAGTTTCCTCGGTGGACAGTGGTGGGGAGTGGCCAACCCCCCGCTCCAGTATGAGTACAATTTCAAGTAGCAATTCGTGGAGAAGACGCGAAGTTTGGACATAACTAGGCTTCTTTGTTTTTAGCATTAGATTCTTCGATTTCACTTCAGCGGCCATCCGCTTCAAAAGCAACCAGGCCATGGAAACGAGGCTAATTCATGATGGTTTTTGTAATGCAGATTAGTCACGTGGTTGCTTCAAATCAGGAAATTTCAACTGCTTTGTTGATATAATTTAAATGTTTTGCACGATATTTCAAAAATCGTCTTTCCTTCAAATATTTGCACCTGGAAGACACCATGGCTAATTTGCATTACAATATGAAAGTCATATAGAACCTATTTTGGATCTAAGCCTCACTTCTGTGTCTTGACTGATTGAATGTCTTTGTGTTATAGGATTTAGTTTGAATTCCTTGTCCAAGCATTGAATAAGCATAGAAACCAGTGAGCTTCTTTCGTAGTAGTCGTTTAGTCATCAGTAGTGACAGTGTAGACAGTCTCTTGATTGAAACATTATTTAATATTCGATTGGACATACCATATATTTCATCAGCACTTTATTTTATTATTGACATTTATATATTATTACAATTATTGAATGTGATGCATTTCGTTGAATTTTTTTATGAATTTCTTTTTTTGAATTCATGCTATATATTTTTTTCTTCGTTACATAGGATTTTAAAATATTTTCTAGTAATTATTAGTAAGTCATAAGCTAGGGTAGATTTTGAATTATGTATGTGATTTTAAAGATGAGGTAGTAGTATCGTTTCGAGTTCGGCCACGCGCATGCGTATACCAAATTGTCAAGCCTCCGTTTGAACCAAGCCCTCTTTCAACAAGAACCTCGTTAAAAACCAAGTAACCAAGCCTTACATCAAAAGGAGGCTTCTTAATACCCATGTAACCTAGCAGGGTATTTAAGAAAACGAGTAACCTGGTCTTACATCAACGTGAGGTTAATATTAGTGTCCAGGCCATGAAAGAAAACTATGTAAGCTGTCCTCGCTTCAACATGAGGATATGAACGTCAAACTACAGTCATAGTAAAGAATATGCCGTGTAGAGATATATTTTTCACTTAAGATAATAATAAAATGCAAGAAAAGAAAATGAGTATTAAAAACGAAAAGCTCGATCCTGCGTTTAACCAATTGAACCAATATTCTTTAACCGTAATCCTTCGTACTACAACATACCAAGCGTATAGAATGGCATGCAGGTCCGGTCCATGGAAGATCAATACAATTTCTTTACATCATTGATTCAGAAGATATTTTTTATGCGTTCTGAACTTCGCTTCTTTTCTCCTTTTCGCTGGAGATTTCTTTCTCTTTCGGTCCTTTCCCTTTTATTCCATCTTGCTCTTCACTTGTTTTGTCTCCTTTCTCTATTTCTCTATTTTTCTATTTTCTCTTTTTTTTTTCTGTCTTTCTTTTCTTTTCGTTTAATAGGCGTTTTTTTTTTTCTGTCTTTCTTTTCTTTTCGTTTAATAGGCGTCTTCACTGCTGTGTCCTAATGCTCGAATTCTTTTCTCATTCCTTCTCATTCAACTTTTTTGTTTCCCTCCTCAACTCGTCTCACTAACCATTAATCATCTCTTCTTAATACCAAGGAGTCCTGCAAAAGCCCTAATACTGTAGGGCGATCCAGGACAATCTTTAGCAGCGTAGAGTTTAACAATGTGGTGTTCCCTGCTCAGGAATAACATCATTCTTGTTTAACTACATGTGTAAGTCCAGGTTGTGCTGAATTCCTAAAACTAACGCATTCTCACTTGATTACGCTAGTTCTGTCTTTGTACGCTAGCACTTGAGTCATCCTAACCAATCTTCCTAACTGTCTTGACTTGTGCGGAAATGCAAAAGAAATGTTGTCTTCGAATCCCTCTTCTCAAACTTGTTCTTAAAATACTTTGCGGTTCATTTTGATTCTTTAAAAGAAATCCCGTTTCAACTATTTGTTTCATTTCTTCTCCTGTCCCATTTATTCCCATATTTCTTCTACTTCCACTTGGACAAGGAATATCAAATTAGACTGATATTTCTCTTTTCTCTTTTCTGTTCTCTCCCAACTTTATTTAATCTCATTTCATTCCATTGAAGCCTTTACTTCTCTCTTATTTTCAGTTTTGCCTTCCTACCCACTTCTTTATTCTTCAGCGTTAAACTAACATAATTGCTAACATTATCTTAACGTTAGTATTTTGTGAGTTGAACGTTAATACCTATTCTGTTAAATGTCCTTTAATATAATGGCATAAAAGTGTAAAAAGTGTAAAGGAATTTCTACCAAAAATGTAACTCAGCCTCAGCATGAAGGCGAGGCAGTAAGTTTTGCATGACAAGGCACAATACTTTTTAACAATCATCTGTTATATTTATAACGACAATAATTTGTACTTAGTGTATAATGGTCGTCGTATCGCTCAGTGTAACTGTTAAAGCATGTTCACTAACACCGCACAAAATCGTACGCTCGTTATTCCAATATTTAACGCGCACTTTATTTTTCTCCATCGTGTTCGTAGTTATCACATAAATGGAACACGATAAATAGCATGCCTTGGTCAACCCCTCGCGACCCCCCTCTTCTAAGATGTCTTTGCTTTCTTCCTTGTAGGTAACGGTTGACGAGACATCAGTAGACACAAAGCTTTGACAACTGAGACGCATTCTCCACTACGTACTACCGCTGACAGGAGCACTTCGGTTTACCTTCCAAAACAGCTTCCAATCTCTTAGACAATTCTTGACCTTCCGCACACTGTATCTTAAACCTACTCTCTTGTCTTTTCTTAACTATCTTATTCTCTTGATCTCAAGACTTTCTTTGACCAACTCTTGTTATCTGAAGTCGAAAAATTTAAGCCAAGTTTGTATATACTCTTCATTATAATATTTTCAAGTTTTCGTAGTCTTGGGTGAAGATCTCTTGATTTGCTCACGTGACTAGTCCATGACTATATAGGGTGTGTATCACGTGATTTGTTCAAATACCCAAATGAGGTGGCATCTATAAATACTAATATTACAGTCACAATGAAAAATTTCTTCAGCTGTGTTCAAAACGAACACAACAGGAAGTTGGATATGCAAATCTGTCACGTGACTTGAGCACGTGAATATATGCCTTACCAAATAAGGTGTTATATCTTTGATGGTATTTCCATTTCAAAAGTATTCTTCATTAAGATTATCGATATATTCTTACATGGGTTTTTTTTATCATAGCATTTTAAGCCTCAAACAAACCAGTTTCATTCTATTTGTTATTTACGTGCATGTATTCTGGGCTTTTAAGAAATTTAAGAATGTAGGGATTATGTGTGATTTCTCGATCTGTAGTCGTTGCAAATATTTTTAAACAGTTTTTGTAATGTTTTTCATTTGCCTGAGGATGGCCGAGTAGGCCGAAAGCTCGGAWCATATTTATGGTTGATAAAACGAACTATTATGAATTTACAACAACCAACAAGGAACTTTTTGATTTTATTTTTTAGCAATTCATAAAACGGAAACTTGTAAAAATTTAGGGGATTACAAAAAAAAAATTAATGGGGATTTCTTAGCAATATTTTATCGTTATCATTAATAGGTTAACTTTGTATATTTATTACTGTATTCAAATCTCTCAGCCATCTTGGAGTCATTGTTTCACGTCASGCCAGGCTTACGGTCAACAGTCGTGACTTGGTCTGATTATCATTCTTAATGGCTGCCATAATTCTAATATTTCACCTTCCTCAAATGGAATGTTTTGCACAATTGATAATTAAAAAGTGAAAAGCGAACCTCTTTAGMGAGGTTTTCAAATACTTGTACTGTTTATCAATATTGTAATTTTATTAATCCATTATTAATGAAATKATCACGTACATAAGGCTCTCCCCACGGAGGAGGGACAAGGTCTAGCTTACAGACTACCAGTTCCGTCAATCATAAGGTCCATTATTTCACCTATAATAAAGGCAAGAAAATATTAAACTTGTCAAACCTTGACTTTCCTGAGCAGAGAATTTTAAAGCACGATGATGTCGTAATCTTTACTTTTCCTTCTTCTCCTTGTGATTATTATACAGATTTTGATCACGCATGCGCAAACAATACCCAATTCAATGACGTAAGACGAGTCCGTAAATATTTATTTATTCTTAAATTTTTCTGCTTTAGTTCAATGTGAAGCAATCCAAGGCAAAAGGACGAGACAATCCAATTGTTAGTGAATAGAAAAATACATCGAATAGTTCTCAGCATCAATCGCACTGAATATCGACCAGTTCGTTCATCACTGGTCAGCGGTATTCTATTTTGCACTACGAGCACAATGCATGCGCACCGTAATTTTAAAAGCTGTCTCATTTTTCACACTAGTTCAGGGAAAGAAACGGATCAAATGAACCTACTACACCACGGAACTAAAAGGACATTGTTAGTTGATTTACAGTATGTCGTAATCAAATATTCTTTTTTTGCACGTAAATCTTTTGGATTTCTTAATGACGATGTACTTGTCACGTGATCATGAGGACCTCTCTATGCAAAACTGAAAAGCTTATAATTAACAAATTTATGTCCTTTTATTGACGATAAATTGCGCCATCACATTGTCAAAGTAGTGTGGATCCACGAGGCGTAGCTGCATTTGATTTGTTTGATARTTGTCGCCTCTTTTCCGTGCCTTTTTCGCATGTCATCCAACATGGCGAAAGTGATCACGTGATCTGAAATGTCGAAACCCTGCAATTTACAAGAAAATTGTCATATTTTCAAGCCCTTGAAATAGTGTTATTTTCCCCAAAACCAATGTTAGTACGCTTCCGACCCAGACAGATCCCGAAATTCATATATGTATGACTAAGCTAATGTGATGTTTTAAACGTAAAAAATCTTTAATGTCGTAAAAATGGTAGAAGCACAAGCACATACAACACGTTCATTAATACATCCATGTTTCTGATGCGTGCTTGCCTCCTTGCTCTAGATGGAGTCTAGAGTCCATCCCAAGAAGAACTCTGTAAACCATCGAAAAAGCGACACGGAGCACAGCAACCGCACCGTTGATTCCATGATGTTGATGGATTACAATGAAAGCATGGGGAGCACGGTAGCACTTACCACAAAACAAGTATAAAACAAGGCCCGTATGACTGTGAGAAATAACCATTACGATCAGCGTGCCGTGCCTTGACTGTGACGGTAACAACTCCCAAAGTTTTGATTGGCTGAGAATTGATCTCGCGCCCTGTGATTGGTTTAAAGGATGGCGTTATTTACTTACCGTGACAGTGTGGCGTGACCGTTCACATTCATACGCRTGCACCTTGCGCAATACAATTTTCTATGTTTGCGCAATTCAAATTACAAATAATCACAATTGAAATACGCAAATATGCAACTGAGGAGTTTTACCTTGAATTGCCAAACGGAAGTAAAACATATCAAAGTTAATTTTGATGGCTTTTTACTTCCGGTAAAATAATCACGTGACTTGATTCGGCCTTAGACGTCGGAAGTAAACTTTAGGAATAATAATAATATCTAGATAAAATCTAGTAAAACTACATCACAATGACGATACGAAGTTCTCAGAAGTACTTGACCAGCACTGGCGCTACTTACCCCTCCCCTTTGTAAATGACATCCGTTGGTGGGGGGGGGGGGGGTAAGCAGTTTCTGTGCATTGGTTAATTTGGTTTCTTTCTTGGCTTCTGAAACTTGGTAGAGCTAAATTTCAAATCAATTGGTTCATCTTTTATCTGAACATAATATTTTCACACATAATATTATTCTGAATCCAAAGACGCGGGAAGATAAGAATGGAAGTGAAGCTTGACTCTCTTAACCGCAGAATACCATGAAGAAAAAAATGCCAAAAATCACAGAATTTAGTAGGTTTTGGGATTCAAGTTTCACTTTCGTTCTTAGTTTCTTTGACCAAAAGTAATTTATAGCACAACAGTTAATGGGTGCCTGGTTGAAAACCACACCTCTGCCTCGTTTTTAGGTGCTTAGAACCACAAGATGATGGAGTAGGACTGGGGTAACTAAGAAGCACTAGATTACGACACAGTCAAGTGTTGTGCGAAAAGGTTCTTATCAACGCCCTTTCTCTTCTAAAAAAAAACTCCATCCCAGGCCAGGAAGATTGCGGGCTCCAAAAACGTTTGAGCATGCGCTGTTGGTTTTTTGTAGCATCAGCATTTTCGAAACTGGTTTCGGTGGAAATAAAATTTGTGCTTGAACGGGAGGGTTTGGTATTTGTTGCGGGCTCCTCGATGTTCGGATATTTTCGTCACACTCTGTTCGCTTGCTTGGTCCTAAGTTATTGAAAACGAGGCATTATTTATGTATTTCGTAAAGAAAATAATTTCTTAGTCAAAACACGAATAATTTGATTATTATTATCATTATTATTATTTATTACACGCAGTTTAATCAAAGGCTGGGTTAGCTAGCCACAAAGCAACCGAAAGGAGGCGCTTTAGTTTCGAGCAAGTGAAAGCTAGTATCGAAACCTTTGATTCGGACAACGGAAAAAACAGATCCTAGAGTTGTTTTCTTTCCTTGCTTGAAAAAATCACGCTAAATCCAGTCACGTTTAAAACCGTTACGCAGTTTTTAAAACTTGCGTTACATTCCATGTTTTGCTTCAATTTTGTACGTGAAAGTTAAGTTTTTATGGTTTATTGTAGCTAAGAATCAAAGCAAGCCTTAGTCAATTAGGGCTGTAAGAGTGCTTTTGAGCTTTTGTATTACTTTTGTAAGAAAAACTCTTTTTAAGAAAAATAATAATTTGGGTTTGACCAAATTTCCTATGCGCAAGTTAGACTAGGAGCTGATATCGATGATATATTTCTATAATGCATGCCTATATTTGTGCAGTAAAGGCCTTGTACTTCTCTGTGATTACAGGCCTTGTACTGCTTTTGATACTAAAAGTTCGCCCTCTTTCAAATACAGAAAAAATACTGGTCTTTCATTGGCTAAAAACGGGGGACCTTTTTATGCCAGGGTATAACCATAGCATCAATTTTGTTCCTTTATTTTTATTTTTCTCTAAATTTTTCAGTTAATTTTGTTTTTAAATGGAAAACAATAAGCCTGAAGCGAGATGACGTTTTACCCCCGTCTCTAGACCATAATCCTTTTCACATTGCTTTTGTTCTTTAATTATGACTATTGTTCCTGTATTCTCTAAGGAATCAAAAWTTTGAATATGAAAGAATTTAAAAAATTATTATGGTATATAGTCGGGGGTTAAACGTCATCTCGCTTCAGGCTTATTCCTTGACAATTTGAAAATCCTAAAGAATTTGTGAACGAAAATTATTATCTTTCCTTTGTTCGTACTGTGGGGATATCTTTGAGCACGAATATGCATCTAAAAAGTAAAACAACTTTGAAATAAAATATTATTAACACACTAGTATCCTATAGTATTTATTGTTAGCAATTGTGTTTTCTTGTTATTTTATGACTAGTTTCGCCATAGATCGATTCACTGGCGTCATAGTAAACATTTTTGGTCCTCATATACTGAAGATGATTGAAATGTATCGAGCCGCTATCTTGGTGCAACCCCTTGGTCCATCTAGATGGCGGCCAAATTACCGAGGATAAAAATCACGTTCAATATTTTACTTTTTTCTCATTAGAAAATATTCATAAAATCAACATTATTCACGGAGTTAAAAACGTACCATTTGAAAGTTATTTGCCACATTCTCTGGCTTTAGAAAACGCGTGATATTGATTGTTGCACCATGACAAGAATTGGCTCGCGATTAATTAAAAACTAAGCATCGGAGAAACGCTGAATTTATTGTGAACACTTTTCTTGGTGTATTAACAAAATATTCAACAAACAGTTTTGCGTGATGAAGCTAGAAATTTTGGATTTTACTTGACAAAAGTTGTCACACACTATCAATTACTTTCCTCCCCCATCTGGGTCGTTACTGATTGTACATTCTAGCGATTCTATATACGTCTACACCATTAATCTTTTTATCCAATCTACAACCTAAAACAAACATTACAAAGAAATCAAAGTCCTCATTGATATTATTAAATCTTTTGATTTATTAAAAATTCTTACAATTCATATATCATTTGGCTACATCTTTGACCTATCTGACCCGCCAATAAGTGTTGCGGAAATGTTGTCCAAAATGGTACCGGTTTTCGCAAGCTTTTATCCAAAATTTTACGCTAAATTAACGGAAATGATTTTACGGTGTATCAAATATATATTCCTGGTTATAATAGTGCATAGTTTTTAAAGTTTCTCGTATTTCAGTTTGCCTTACTGTAAAGTCAGAGAGACTTCGCCACAGAAGATGATATTCTGTTCCTGGTCTTTGAGTTGGCCCTTCAGTGTAACCTTACCAGTCGGGAAAGTAGAGTCGATAGAATGAGAAAACACCAACTCGTATTGCTGTCCACTCTTCAAAGGGCAGGTCAAACCATAGCCTTTACAGCCATCAGAGTTCGGCAGAGGAAGAGGTACGGGAACGAAGCCGAAAATGGCGTACGCGTAGATCTTGGAGCTTGTTACTTCTTCATTAGGGATAAAAGTAATAGTTCCTGTAGCGTTTGATCCTCGTTTTATGATACAGGGATCTTGAGAGCATGGAGAGAGGTCAAAAGAAACCAGCTTTCCTACTTTAGATCCACAGTCTTTGAAGGAGATTTTCTTGGCTTCAGCGAGGCTCAAGATGAATTGCAAGCACAGTAATAGACTCAGAAACTTCATATTGCAGAAAAATTGCCTTAGCTAGCAGCTTGAAAGGACAGTTCTGGTGTTCTTACTTCAATTATTGAGCAGTTATGACCTGAATTTGATCTTGTGACGAGTTGATGTACCCTCAACTCGTCACATGACAGTCATGCACTCACTCAAAGATTCCAAATTCAGTTACAAAACTAATACTCAGGGGAGTGAGGTAAGTCAACTAAATTGAACTATTATTTCACTAAAGTGTTCTATAAATATTTGATATATTAGTAATACCCACATATTTTTTAGTTAAATATGGTTTGGATCAATAGTTTGATAAAATTTCTGTCTGCCTGTGTTCAGAGCAGGACTACAGAATAAAGCGCATTCGATTGCTTCTCTGTACGAATTCTTGCAGATTATTTCAGATTTTTGTTACAGAGATATTTTCGTGAGAAACGCATTGAAACATTTCGAAACCAACTAGGTTACCATACAGCAGATTGTTTACTCAACAACTGATCCGAGTTTTGGTTAATCTGAAAAACAACTTTTCCCCAGTGAAAGATGCGAAATAATTAACGAACCACTGAATAACAAGGGAAACTCAAGATCCTTTATTCGTTTTTTAACTCGCGCGGCTTTACACAAAACCTGTCATGTTATTTTCCTTCAAAGAAATTGTTGGACATCAAAACGGCGCCTAGCGACCAATTCAAGTCAAAGCCGTTCAGTTTTCCCGCGTTGCGCAAGACAAAGTTGTTCTCATTAACTCTGTAACCCTTAACTAACATCACTTTAATGTAATTCAAGTGAAAACATCGAGCATAGGCTAGAAAGTCCTTCTTGATATGGAGCTTGTACACGGACTTTGAGCAGTACGAATCTGCTTTATTTTCTATGTTGTCCAGGGTAACAATCTGGTCATTTTGCTGGACTACTCCTGTTGCTTGGAATGCGTAGGTAAATAAACTTGAGCAGTAAAAYTCCCCTGACAGTTTTGGTTGATTTTTGAACGCACAATTACTGCAAAAGAAGAAATATGAAAGCCATTGCTGGCACTGACGTGTGCTTCGGAAATCTCCCCGAACGATATACTCCTTCCCGTCCACGTTCACTGACGTGTTGAATCCGTAATTGTGGCATGGACTGTAGACTATTTGGTCCTCATCTTTAGCCTTTTTGGTCGATTGAATTTTCATCCTCACAAGCTTTTTCAGGAAGGTATTTCTTGCTTCTGCTTCTCCATAGCCAAGGTAGCTGTGAGCAAAGACGTTGTAGTTCTTGCCTGTTATACCTAAACTGACCACTGGTACTTTGGGCTTTCTCCTTGACACCTGTCAGTTAAACACAGTAATATTATTGTATCTTCATGTATAAAGGAAGTAATTTCTGGAAACTTAAATGGCCTAACAAGCGTTTGTAGTCTGCGGAATACGAAACTCTCAAAGTGAACTATGCATATTCGGCCATTCAGCAAGGCTGCTGTCACATGTCCGCTTTGTCATTATTAGGGACAAAGTCGAACCAATTGTCATTTTACGAGACCTGGTTTAGAGGGGAGGGGTGGGGTTATATTGGTACCTACCACCTCTAAAGGTGAAAACCTGGATTTTGTCCTCAAATATCTCAAAAACCTAAAGTTCAAATCACATAAATGAGTGTACTGTCTGTTAGTACTAAACATAGACATAGTCTACGTAGACTATGTACACCCAGTATTAACCAAGCCATTTCACCTTCCACCTAAATCAATCGAGTCCCTATTTTGGACCATTGTGTCGAACTTGTCCCTTATCGATACCATGGCGCGGTACAAACCTTGAAAGTGTTCTGTGTAGATGCCCCGCCCATGTCCAGAGTGCCAAAGCTCTTTGATGATTCACCAGAGAACAATCCCTTGAGGAAGTTAACAGTCACCCACAGATAAACGGCTTCATCTTCACCACTGATAACTTTTGAAAAACCGCGTTCGTATTTGAATGGACTGTAGTCTTTGTTGGAAAGGAGGACATCTACTTTATCCAGGATTCTGTCAATCTATACAAGTCATCAATCCAAAGAAATGGTCAGGTTTTAAAATGCTTTTGATACTGGTCACATTCATATTAATCATTTTCCCTACTACCACCCACTCGGGGGCTTCCTATCTGCCTAACCACACCCATATCATCCAAACCCCACTCTCTTGAACGTCGTTCATGATCTCTAATCTTGTCTTAAGCCTGCTTTCCATGATCTAAGAGGTATATACAAAGATATGAGGTCATATTACCTCATATTTCTTAAGCAGTCGCATCCCAGCAGTAGCAAATAAACGAATCGTAGTGTGTGCTTGCTTGTCTTTGGGAACCACTTTCAGGGCTCCATCGATCAGAGGCCGTAGGTACCCGCCAATYTCACCGATGTTGTCTGCAAATTTACTCAGCCCAGGCCGAACTTTATCAGGTTTGGGTACTGGTGCTTGTTGGACATCAGAGACGCGTAGAGGAGTATGGATTAGTATCTTGTACACTTTGATCCTTGTTCCGCTTGAACCCGCGTCAAATATCACAGCATACTTCTCTTTTACCCCGCTAGACTTCTTCTCAAGATCCAGGAAACTTCTGCCGTGTGAGAGCTGAGGACCCTGGGCCAAGAACAACGCACCAATCATCACCAGGCCAAAACACGCGATATGAGGATTCATGGTTTCACTCCCTAAAGGGAAACAAGAGTATATTATTATAAACTTCAATAAGAGTATAGATTCTAGTGAAATCCTGATGCTAAACAAAGAGAGTGCCTCAAAAGAAGGCTTACCTACCCGACACCCTTCTCGTGTTCAATATAATTAATCTTAAAAACATTATCCTTCCCTTCCTCCTAGCATATACCCAATACTTCTTTCTCTAACCTGTCCCGTGACCAATAATAGACTAAACTGTAGTCCGAGTTTAAGTAGTACTTCTAAAACAAATTATGGAAGAAGACGCAACGCTGCAATGCAGGGCTAACGGTTATCAATAACAGCAAAAAGCATGTTTCTTTTGGCCTGATCTGTACGTACCTCAAATTGTCCTAACCAAGAGAACAGCTGCAAACAGAGGTCTATACTGTTGTCTTCACTTACTCACGTATTTTAGAGCTTCAAATGTACTTCTTGAGAGTTTTCAATAAGTACTGGTTCCAAAGGCAGGCAGTTAAAGAATAAGATTGATATTCAAACGGTCATCACTTTATATAGGCAAAACCCGAACAAAAGCTATGCTAATTCATTAACATTTTTTAGAATTTTTAGTATCAATCATTGTTAATTTGCTGTAACTAGGATTAGCTGGGATTTATCAAACAAAAAAATTTTTTTCGAATAATTATAATTATTTTATCTTGATATTTTACTTTGGCTGTTTTAAGTAGAGTCATTCTATTAATCAGATCTTATTTATATCTTATGGATACAAATATTTGGAGTCTTGATATTTCTGACCGACTGGAGTGGGAGTATAAACTGGACAGAATCCTTGATATTTCAAGCCTCCAATAGAGTCGAAAGCTCAAAGTATACCTAACAGTTTCACTCAGGGTACAGTGGCGGATCCAGGATTTTTCAAAGGGGGGTTCCGTTTCTTCAACTGTGTATAATTCTCTTTTGTTTAGTCGATGTCTGACAAAAAAATTGGCTCTAGTCGCCTAATTTACTATCTAGTAACGGAACTTAAAGGTAAATTAAACATTATAACAGCAAATATCTATCATTTCGTGTTCAACATTATCCTTGTGGATACTTTTAAGCAAAATTTATATAAGACATATTTCTATTACCTAAAAGATCAAACCTTTTAAGGGGGGTTCCGTGGAACCCTTCGAACCCCCCCCCCCTCCCCCCCCCTGGATCCGCCACTGGGGTATCAAAAGTTTAATTCAGTAAAACGTATTTCTATATATTTTCAGTATCTATTTGACTGCTATACATTAACAAATGAGTAACTGATGGGTTTTTTTCTTTTACTGGTTAAGTAAAACTGAATATGTATTTTCTATTTTCTATAGATTACAGATAATGCATTATGTTGTTGTGTTAGGGCGTTCACTAACTGAGGTTGTGTGTTAGTATACGTAATGTAGTGTAGTTTGAAAATACCTTTTTTACATACACTTTAGGCGTATTTCGGACCACGTGTCATTTTCTTGAGAATACTTCGATTCAAATAAAATTTAACCTGAGTTATTCGATTTTTTAGTTATTCGATTTTTAACCTGAGTTATTCGAATTTTGTAGTTATTCGAAATTTAACCTGAACTATTCGAATTTTGTAGTTATTCGAAATTTAACCTGAACTCATATCAAACTTTCCACATAGAAAAGTTGTCGTTCCGCTCGAGCTGTTTCTTTTACCATATATGGAATGTACTTACCATATT